ATGCAAAACATTGATTACCCTGTAGATTTCCTATGTATACAGAATATTGCCTTGTTCATCTGACATAATTATCATACTTAATGTATCATCCCAGCCATGTGTCTGCTAAAAATTTTCAGCAATCTAGACATCTTATGTATATGGCTACTGCAGTGTATATAAAACTGACCCAGTTTATGTTATCCAACTATCCAAGAAATTTTAACTTTTTAATATACTTTTGCAGGAGGAAGAAAAGACTACAAATAATGTTGTCCAAAGTATGTAACAGGTTTTTTCCAGTTTTCCTTGTATTTCTCTCTATTCTCTAAGCTTGATACTGCAGTCATTACAATAATTATACATTCTTATTATTCTTAGAATTGTTTCTTTACGTTATTGCTTGTAGATCAAAGTGATAGCTAATGGACTGAAATCAAAGCAAACCACTTTAGTTCTGAACAGGGGAAGAATTGAAGTTGGACCTCGAATAACTGTAAGTGTTGTACTGTGCCTTGCAGTAGTCTTTACCAGTAGTCTATAATATAAGTGGGATATAACATGCAATTTTTTGGCAAACATACATGCATTGTGATGTGATAATGCACTATTATAGTCTGTGGTACTGTTTTGTTCCTTCTGTGTTTTTTCCTGTTTTATCTTTTCCTTTTTTACCAAAATATAGACAAAACTATAGAGTACTTAAAATACAAAATTTATCAGAAAGTCCAAAGGAACAAAGCAATTGTTCTGTAGTTCAATGTGCAAAATTAACTGGCTTGGCATTTGTCTAATTTGGTGTTGTCTCAACAGATTTTGGGGAAAAGTGTGCAAAATAGCCAAGAAGAAAACTTGAAAAGATACCTGCAGGTTGACCAAAAACATAGTAAAAGGAAAAAAAAACTGAACCAATGTGATTTAGAAAGTACCTTCAATGCTTCTGATAAAAATTGCTAGATACATTTTTAACGAAAGACAAAAAATACAATAATTTCAAAAATTATGGCAAATCCTCTTTTTAAACAGTTAATTTATTTACTGGATTTTAAACAGTTTTCTCAATTACTTTTACATCATAATTTTGTATTGCTTTTGCCCACTCAAACATTGAAACAACAGTAAAAGCGTGCACACGTGAGGTCACGGAGTACATAGTACTTTATTACATATTACTTGCCACGTAATATCTTCTACTGTATTAATATCATAAAAGAAACAGAAAAACTCATCTCGTGCATTTATAGTGCTCGGTTACACCTCGTGTTTTACATGCTTCTTGGTATTCTCCTGACATTCCTCTCACGTGCATTAACACACCATAAACACACGCGACCCGTTTTCTATTTCTAACATACTGTATATTTTAAAACATTTACCAGTAACGAATGTTTGATAATGAACTTAGTAAGTGTACACTGTTTCTAGCTGAACGATGAGCAATGCCAAAGTTCGACTGTGACCGTAATTAGATGGTGATGAGCTACGAAAGCGGAGCGCTATCTATTCCTTAAATCCGGAAGATAAGCTATTAAGTTATCACAAAGCTATTAATGAAGCTTGCTTTGAGCTGGCTAAAGAGGATCCCAGTCTTGTTTACAAGAAATCAGAGATGTTCAAGATCGCAATCGCCAAATTGGATTCCGACGGCTACAATTACAAGAAAAAGAAGTCGAGATCGAAGTTGATTTCCAATGCTGGGCAAGACCTGCAGGATAAACCCCCTAAGAAAATATCTCAGGAAATAAGAACCAAGAGAATAAACGAGTTAAATGAAGATCTTAAAGAGGTTGATCTCCAGTTAGATTTGTGTGAGAAACAGCGAATTAAGCAGACAAATGTTAAGCAGTATGCTCAGGCGATAACCTTGACAGAGCAGATATCTGAGCTGCGAATAAAGAAACGGAAACTGCAGAATGAATTGGCAAACTTACAACGAAAAGAGTCAAAATCGGTAGCCTACAAGCGGAAGACAAGCCAAAAGTGCAGTACAGATGGATATTCTGGTAAATCTAGCAAGCAAATTGATGTCATGTTGAAAAGAAGAGCACCTGACCATCCTGACAACGATGAATTATGTATTGTTGCAAAGAGGAAAAGTATTGTCGTGGAGGAAACCGAATCAAGCAGAGTCCAGACAATGATGACGGCAGAGTTGAAGCAACATCAAGTGGTCAACAAGAAAAACAACAAGAGGTTCAGCCTGTTACAAAGAGGAAAAGTATTGTCGTGGAGGAAACCGAATCAGAGCAGAATCCAGACAATGTTGATGACAGATTTGAAGAACCAGCAAGTGGTCAACAAGAAAATCAACAAGAGGTTCAGCCCGAAAAAAAGCAAGAAAATATTCCTTCTGAAAATACCCAGGACGACATCCTTTTTTAGAGAAAACGGAGTACCTCTTATAGGCACAGAAGCCTATGAAAGGTACTCTACCTACAACAAAAGATACTTGAGTAACAAGGATGTATATAAGGTGTCTGATGGTTTCTACAAGTCTTTACTAAATGGCGTTTCACTTGTTGAGTTCACATATTTTCGATTAGTTTATTGTAAAGCAAATCATAGCAAGGACTGCAATGAATGCAGCAAACTCGTGGACTGTGCCAAGGACATTTTAAACTATGGAGTTGTAGAACTGCAACAGGTATTCCGCAAAAATTTCAAGCAGTCGAAGTACATTAGTAACAAAGCTATTCGAAGAATGATGCAAATGCCTGTAGTGGTGTTTACTTTACAACTAAGTGGGCCAGGTTCACAGCGACTGTTTATCACAGAAAATAACCCATCTGTGGACTACTCTGTCTTCGTCAAGTGGTTTGGTAAAGTTATTCCATTGAACAGTATTACGAATGGCCTCTCCAAGGATCAGCTTCGGGCCCTTTGTTCACTGGCATCAACTGAAAAGGACAGAAAACTTATCAAAGTTGCTGCCTGCCAATCAAAAGGTCTATCAGGAAAGAAAGCAAAAGAGCAATACAGAGTTCACAATTTAAGCAAGCTTAAAGAAGAAGTGGAAGCAGCTTTGTCTCAAACAGAAGAAATTCGGAATGCAGTGAATGAACTGGCACAAGCAGAAGAGAAAGCTACTCTGGAGGCTTTGGGCATCTATGTACAAGAGGAAGATTCAGAGGATTCTGAATATGATGTCATTGAACAAGATGTGTATGTAGATTGGTCTAGCGATGAAAGTGACTCAAATCTTGAAGAGGTATCAACTTACAAAGGGCAGTGTAGTGTAATGGCCGATTACGATACCTCAATTAAAACAGAATGCCATATTGACAAGATAATGGATTTACCATCAATTGAAACACTAGTCTGTATTCTACAAAAGAACAATTTGAACTGGTTTCTGTTTGTTGGAGAGTTAGAAATGATGTCCTCAGTTATAGTCCTGATGTTTTGCGCCAAATTCTACTTGACTTTGGTCAACAACTGGGGAACACTGGTCTAACAGATGAGGATATGAAAAAAGTTGAGCAATCCAGACAAGCATTTTTGGCTATACAACAGGAAAATAGCACTCTTGATCGGGAGAATGAAGGAGTGGAAACAAGTTCAGAAAGTGATAATCCTGATGACTGGGTTGGTGTAAAGAATGTCCTCAGTGAGAAAGGAAAGGAACTTGTAATAAGGCAGCGAAAAATATTTCAGAGAAAAAAGAGAAGGCAAATTGCTAAGGAGATCGCAAACGGACATATCCTGAAAAGAAAAGTACCAAGAAAGGTGTGCAAGACACTTTGCAAATTCCCAAATATTGGGAAAGACATTGAAGATTTTGTTGAGGAAAGGAGAGTAGGGGCAGACCAATGGCGACGTACCGGTGTCTTTACTTTTGATGGAAATCAGAGAAAAGGGCCTAAAGTAACCTATGGACGAATCCAAAAACATCTCTGTGAGAAGTACGATACAAAAATAGGCTATGGGAGTGTAGTCCAACTTTGTACAGTGCGAAACAAACGTAAGTTATCAGCGAGTAGATATCATGGGGTTGCTCGGGTTACTTCGCGAAGAGCAAGAAAGGGTTTTGCTATCAAACTTAACCCTGATGCACATCACAGCACGGCTTTGTATAAAGGATTAGACTACATACAACTTAAAGATGGTCGGGACAAGGTTGTACTCAATCGGGACGACCAAGCAGGATTCAGGCTCGATACAACGTTTACACACAAATTACACAAGGCTACATCACTTACTCACCAGCCCGAAACAACTACGCGCACAGATTATGTTAATAAATATGCATCCGTTATTCAAACCACCTCAGCAATGTTCCTGGGCACTGCTACAACAAGTGAAAGATGTGTAGGGGTAGTAAAGGCACAACCGGTTCATTGTAAAAACCCTGCTCAACATGCTGCGGACTTAGCTATGTTGCAGAGTAAAGATGAACTAGCTCCTTGGTTGAATAACAAAGCTATAGATTGTATCAGAGTTGATGGTGCTGGAGATGAGGAGCCCAAACATCACGAAGTACAATTTCTATGGACTGAGAGGCATTTAACAGAAGAAAAGGTGCGACATTAGTAACTACGCGACACAGTGGAGGCTCTTACCTCAATCGAGTTGAGATGCAAAACGGATGTCTTGCTCTCGCTCACAGCAACTTGTTCATACCGTCCACATTGACAGGTTCGAACAATTCTTCTACAGGACTTGATACTGAACGATTGTTGACGAACTTGGATATGGCTATTAATGTCTACATTGATCGTGTGAACGGAGCACCTTGTGGGAAAAGTCCCATCACCCTTTTTAAGGGAGCGAAAGATGAACATGCCAACCAACTGCAAGATCGACGCCAAGATTTGTTGACATTCCTCACAGGCAGCAAAAAATTGCAAGCAGAGTTACAAGCAAAGAAACCAGATGAATACAATTACTTTAAGAAGATTTGGGACTTATGGAAACAGCATATGGTGAAAGACCTACCAGAGAAATACATTTTCTTTCTGTTACCTTGCTACAAGAGTGACTGTGTTCATCCAGTATGTCAACGGTGAAAACCTCAAGAAGAAATGAAGTGGTTTGAAGACGGACCATCCTTGGTCGATATACCCTTACCTATTCCAGATCCTGCCCGTCCCTGGGAAGGTAATTGTGCAAAGTGTACATCCGGTTGTCATGGACACTTCATGGCTCCTGCTGAATCTCTTGAACATATTCAAAAGAATGGCTATAAAGATTGCATGCTTAACCCTCCTTCAGAGGTTATCAAGAAAGCGTTTGATTTATCTAGGAAACAGAAAACGACCCTCTCAGCGACACATATCAAAGATCTGGCAAAACAAACGCTTCTACCTGAATGTGACATCTCCTTTTGGCTGCAGCATCTAAAAGGAATTGAGGAAAGGAGAGCTGAGGGGGTGAAAAAAGCAAAAGCAACCAGGCAGCTGCGTTCAAAAGGTAGATTGTACTTTTACTGCATATCAAATTAGCACTCTTATTCTCCATATGTTTTGTTTTCTTAAGTTAATACAGTATGTAATTGCGGCACTTGAAAATTACCTTTGGTTATTTTGTAGAGAAGGCACAAAAAGAAAAATCGTCTGTTATAAATGAGCCCAGAAAAGATGTCTACTGCTGGTGTGCAAAAGAGGAGTATGGTGAGATGGTTGCATGTGACAACCCAGCCTGCAAGATAGTGTGGTTTCATTTTGATTGCGTAGGATTGTCTGAAGCTCCTGCAGGCAATTGGTTTTGCAATGACTGTGATCAGATAGATTTTCCGTAAACCGTTTTAAATAGTCGTATTATAGATACTGTTGTATATCTCACATCCGGCTAGTTACTTCCGGGTTTGTATGTATTATAAATAGGCTAGCTTCTCTTTGTAATATCAGAACTTATAGAAAATATATACTTTGCAATCCGAATGAATCTAAGATTTAGATAAAGACAAGAAAACACAACATGGTGGCAACGGTTGGATAAAAGCCCCAGCTTGTTAACGTGAGCGATTTTTTGACACTAGCGATAAAGACGGAAGAAAATATTGGATATAAACATTTTTGAAATAAGACACTCGAAAATGGCGTTCAAAGCACCGTTTTCAGCACCTCAAATGGATTGGGAAGCTGACGACTCGACCATAGCTTTTAGCAAATCAAGCAAAAGGTGAGCTGATGTCAAAAGTATACTCAAAGACGCTGAAGGAGAGGAACAAGTCAGCTATTCCTGCTATGGGTTGGCGAGAAGGGTCTCGACATCTACAATAGTTGGAGCTTTGAAGACGGGGAAGACAAAAAAGACCCAGCAAAGATTCTCGATAGATTTATGGAACATTTGGAACCACGGACAAATCATCGAATTCACAGGTATACTTTACAAGGTATGCGACAAGACCGAGGTGAGTCAATCGATAATTTTATTGCCAAGATAAAGAATATCGCAGCTAAATGCAAGTTCAGTGGCAATGAAGAGCTCGAGGATAGATTATTAGATCAACTAATTTGGGGTACAAATGATCCTGAAGTTCAGAAATCCTTAATCGGACGCGATGAAAAATTAACATTAAATACTGCCATAGATATTGCTAGAAGTTACGAAGCAACAAAACGACAAATGAATTCATTATCAAATCAAAATAAAGGAAATCCTCAGCAAATTGACAACATTAGTCGCAAGAAATTAAACGCTGATAATAAAAAATCAAAATAGTATTATACAATGTAGGAATTGTGGTAAAAGTCATAAGCTACCACATAAAGGGAACTGTCCAGCCCATGGTACTACATGCAGAAATTGTGGCAAATTAAATCACTGGCAATTAGTATGCAAATCAGCTAAAAGCCAACATAGATCAAAGTCGCCACACCGAAAAAATAAAAAGTTCATTAATAGTCTGGAGGAACAAAGTAAGGAAGACCTGTATGCCGATATTCCAACAATTGGCACTATTGAAATAAATAGTGTGGTAAAGGATAATAATACTATGAGTGAGGAAGTATTTACTACCCTGCGTGTTAACCGTAAGAACAATGGGGATATAAATTTAAAATGCAAAGTTGATACGGGTGCTCAGAGTAATGTGTTGGCCCATTCATTTGTTTCGTGTTCTATATCCTGAATTAATTAATGCTGAAGGGATGCCCAGGGACGGTGCTCTACAAAGAAGTGAAGTTATCTTAACTGCGTATGGGGGATCTGAGATTACCCAATTTGGAAAAGTACTAATACCATGTCAGCACAAAAGGGGAAAATTTAATTGTGTTTTTTATGTAACTGATGCAGTAGGTCCAGCTATATTGGGAATAAAAGCGTGTAGAGCCCTCGGACTGGTTTCACTCCATTGTGCGCTGGAAACAAAAGTGGTACGAGGAAGAAACATCCCTCAAGGTGTTGCCCAGGGGCCTAGTGAAGAGAAAGTTAAGTCCACTAAGAGTATTAGATTTGCGGATCAAGCAAAGATAGCAAATCAGCAACAAAGTCGGTCTAGAAGTTATATTAAACCCTCTGTGCCAATCACAGACCGTCCTCGTATAAAGGATAAAGAGAATCTGATCGAGATGTATCCAGAATGTTTTGACGGGTCAGTTGGATGTTTTGAAGATTACACATACCATATAACCCTAGATCCTAAAGTTAAACCAGTTATTCATGCGCCTCGTAAAGTACCATTAGAGCTGGTAGATAAACTAAATTTCGAACTTGACGAGATGGAAAAGAGCGGTGTAATAGAAAAGGTAACAAAACCAACCGAGTGGGTAAATTCTATAGTTATAAGGGAGAAGCCTAATGGCTTCGGATATGTTTGGATCCCAAAGACCTGAACGAAGCAATTATGCGGGACCACTATCCAACACCCACCTTAGAGGAAATCACCCCAAAGTTAGCTGGAGCTAAGATATTCAGCAAATTAGACGCTCGTAATGGATACTGGAATGTTAAGTTAGATGACGAATCATCATATCTAACCACATTTAATACACCAAATGGTCGATATAGATTCCTAAGAATGCCGTTTGGTCTTCGAATGAGCCAAGATGTCTTCCAATTCAAGATCGATGAAGTCTATCGGAACTGTCTTGGTGCTGCTGGGATTGCAGACGACATCACAGTCCATGGCCAAGATGAGTCAAATCACGATCTACATCTTCATGATGCAATGGAACGTACAAGAATGGCTGGCATCAAACTCAACCGAGAGAAATGCATCATCAAGACCGCTGAATGCAGTTTTTTTGGTATGGTATACACCGCGAATGGAGTCAAACCTGATCCAGAGAAGGTCATAGCCATACAGAACATGGAACCACCCAAAGATAAGAAAGAACTTCACACGTTCCTTGGAATGGTCAACTATTTAGCGCCATTTATGCCCAACTTGGCGAGTCACACGGCACCTTTGAGAGAGTTAATCCGGGATAACGTTGATTACAAATGGTCTCCGTCACATACAAGAGCTTTTAACATACTCAAGTGTCAAATAAGCACAGAAACTACACTTTCCTACTACGATAGAAGCAAGTCAGTTGTGCTACAAGTAGACGCATCAAGTAAAGGCTTGGGAGCCGTTCTATTACAAGAGAACAAGCCCATTGCGTTTGCATCGAAAGCCTTAACCCCTGCTGAGAGTAGGTACGCCAACATCGAGCGTGAGTTATTGGCAGTGATATATGGATGTGAGAAATTCCACACTTACTTATATGGGAGGCAATTCGTTGTGGAAAGTGATCATCGTCCTTTGGAACAGATCCAGAAGAAGAATCTCGACATGGCACCTCCTCGACTTCAAAGAATGCTTCTACGGTTGCAACCATACGGTTGTATCATCAAATACAAGCCAGGCAAAGAGATGGTGATAGCAGATACACTATCGAGACTGTCACCAAGGGAGGGAGACGAAATCCCAGGAATGCGTGTGAAAATTCATCATCTAGTAGAATTTACACCTGTCGAACTCCAACAGATAAAAGAAGAAACTGCTAGAGATGGAGCTCTTCAAATACTCAGCGAGCAAGTTATACAAGGGTGGCCTGATAGCATAAAGAAAATACAGCAAGCAGTAAAGCCTTACTGGAATAACCGAGATGACATTTCTATCCAAGAAGGACTTCTATTCTTAGGCAGTAGAATAATTGTTCCAGAATCACTCCGGCAGAAGATAATGCGAGAAATCCATAGTGGTCATCAAGGGATGGAGAAGTGCAAACTCCGTGCAAAATCCTGCGTTTATTGGCCCGGTATATATAAAGAGATTGAGAGTATGGTGGCGTCCTGTTGTGCCTGCAAGAAATTCCAGAATTCACAGCAAAAGGAACCCATGATTCCAAGCGAAGTACCGCCAAGACCATGGCATACTGTGAGCGCAGACCTGTTTAAGGTAAATAATTTCTGGTACATTGTTATTGCTGACTATTACTCGAAATTTCCATTTGTGAAGAAATTAAACAGTTTAACAGCAACCACTGTAGTTAATGTGGTTAGATCGATATTTTCTGAACAAGGCATACCAGAAACGCTCATTTGTGATAATGGATCTCAATTCACTTCTGCCCAATTTCAAGACCTAGCGAAGAGATATGGTTTTAGAGTGGTCACTTCGTCACCTCACTACCCAAAGGGGCATGGTTTCATTGAGAGACAGGTCCAAACTGTGAAGAAGATCCTGTTGAAATGCAAGGAATCAGGAGCTGATCCTAGTCTTGCATTACTGTCGTTGCGTTCTACACCGTTAAGTACAACACTCAAATCTCCAGCAGAGCTACTAAATGGAAGAATGTTCAAGTCAACATTACCAGTAAAAATTCATCCACCAAGCGATCGGTACGAAACCAGAGACTTGTTATTAACACAACAAAATAAACAAGTAAATCTATATAACAGGGATTCGAAGGAGAAGCCAAATCTCTTTCAAAATCAAGCGGTACAAGTTCAAGACCCTGTTAACAAAACGTGGAGCCCAGCGAGAGTAGTTGGTTTTGGACCAACTCCTCGTTCTTATATTACAGAGGATGGATCCGGAGTTCAGTTACGGAGGAATAGACAGTTAATCAAGCCTGATATACAGAAGACACCTGAACCGATAAATCGTGATGCCAGAAATCAGAACCAGGGTGATGTGAGACAGGAAGAGATGCCAGAAATCCGAACACGCTCAGGTCGCATAGTAAAGAAGCCGGACAGACTAATATATAAGTAGATAATATCATTAAATAGAATTAGAATAATTAAGATAAAGTAAAACAATTGATTAAGACAATTTCAGCATAAGTATTTTAGATCATAAGTTTTTTTATATAATTTAGGAAAAGAAAAATATATATATATATCTTTTAAGAAAGGAGGATGTTGTATATCTCACATCCGGCTAGTTACTTCCGGGTTTGTATGTATTATAAATAGGCTAGCTTCTCTTTGTAATATCAGAAAATATATTATAGAAAATATATACTTTGCAATCCGAATGAATCTAAGATTTAGATAAAGACAAGAAAACACAACAGATACTGTCTCGGATACTGTATTCATAGATATTACAGATAATTACTTTGGAGGAAACAAAACGCTAACCTAATAACACAAGATTGTTGTCAGTTCGTTTTCAAATAAAGGGTTAAATGAAAAATGACAAACATTCATATGTTAGGTTAGCATTTTGTTTCTTCCAAAGACAAGTGATTGTAAACCGTTTTGATGTTCCGTTTTTTCAAGTTTTATAATATTTATGTTCAATGCAGAAGCCAATCAGCCATCTGGGTTTTCTCTGTTCGTCTTTAATTTGTTTTAAAT